CAAAAGAAAACATCTTGCATGAATGGTTTCTCTGTGGCTGCACCAGAGGGATGAACAGAGAAATGGGGCCTCATTTGGGAAGCTCAGAAACACTTAATTCTGCCTTATTATTAAGCCTCACCGCTACAATAGCGTGAGAAAGATGAAAGCATCATGGAGCGAAATTGTGGCTTTACCTGCTTGGCTGAGGGCAGGCCTCCGGGCCACAGGACAAGGAGACCAGGACCCCCAAAAGAACCAAGCAGGACCCCAACCCACCAATGCAGAATTATGAAGCATGGAGGAGGTGAGAAGGATTCATGGTATGAACTGTGGGTCATCGCAGAGGTTGAATGGCAGCTAGGGGAGTGTTTGTTTAGGGTTACTGTATGTAAAGAAGGAAGGCTTCTGAAGACCTAGGCGTGTTGCTTATTAAAATAAATGCACATGAGCAGCAAGGAGGCAGCCTTGAGTTAGAAGAAATGTCTGCAATAGCTCCGGATTTGCGAGAACATGTAAATTGTAAAGGAAGTCACCAGTATTATTAAATTTTTATCTGAATGGATAAAGGTCCAAATTTCCAATTGTACCCCCAAAAGCAGCAATTGAAATTGAAGATTCATTCGCTGTATTTGTACTGTGAATAGAATGAAGGACAGAGGTAAAATGGCAACGTCTTGGATTTCTATAACCATTTAATTTGATAAGAGTCTCCTGGGCAAATGGAGTGAGTGTGTAATGCTGAGGCATATAAACCTGTTGATGTGTAACCTCTTGGTATCTGAGGCAGTATAAGAACTAATGGCTTGGAATCTGGAACGGGACTGAAAGCGCTGTTGACCACTCAACGAATACATGTGGGCACTGTGGAAAGGAAAACAAAAACTCCAGTTGGGAGAATATAAACCTCTGGGGGGGTCCAACCCAAATGAATACCCCCCTCCAGGCAGCTAAATGTTTGAGTATGGGTCGGCCCTGTAGTACCGTAACTGAGAACATGCTGAACTGACTAAGAAGCAGGTGTGGCTTGAAAAGTGAAGCAAGAGTGGAGGTTGGCATCAGCAGTATCGCAAAATGAGAAGAATGAACCCGGGGCCGAACTGGATGCTGGGGATAGCGACACAAGTGAATAAGGGACACAAGTAGGACCTACCTGTACGAATATCAAGCTTTGGTAGCAGCAGAGAATGAGAGGGATGGATCTGAGGCCAAACTGAACACCGGGCGGGGATCAAGACACAACCAGAGGAGGACATGAGACATAAGGGCTGAATTGGAAAGAAACATGAATGAGACAGGGATGCAAGACATGGGACAGCTGATGACTGGGCCAGAGGTAGGATTCTGGACAGACCCGGAACAGAGGAGATGGCTGCAGTTGCAGCGGAAACAGGAACCGGGGGCTGAATTGAATGTCAGGGACACAAGACACAGGACAACTGCTGACTGGGCTGGAGGTAGGACGCCTGATAGACCAGGGGCCGAGGAGATGGCTGCAGTAGCAGTGGAAACAGGAACCCGAGGCTGAATTGACTGTCAGGGGTAGGGAAACGAGATGCAGTTAAATGCGCAGGAGAAAAGTGAGATTAAAAGGACATGGAGGAAGAACAGAGGGGGCTTGAGATTCGTGAGGTGAAATTAGATGTGATAAGGAAAACAAATACAGACCACTGAATGAAGAAACGCAGGGAGATTGAGGAATGGATGGTTGTGGGATTGCAGTGAAAGGTGGCTCATAGGTTCTGATCTGCTGTGAGCTGGGCAGAAGCGTGTTGAAGAGCCACGGTTATTTATTACTCTTTCCGAAGTTCAAAGCTTTATTTTTTTTTTTTACTTTACGGTTAAACAGGCTTGTGGGAAGCTGGGGGAAATGCATGTTTGTTGCACTTTTGATGATGTCGTCGGGTGATGCAGAAGTTAACTATGAGCGCAGGATATGTTAAGTATATCTTTGATATGAAAATGAGTAATATTCCTAGATACATCCTGAACGAAAGCTGTTAAAATGTAGTTTAGTGACGTTGTGCTACTGTCCAGGTGACCTGCAGATGTTGAAAAGCTACAAAGAGTCAGATCAATGGCTAGCTGGTATGCATAGAACGAGAAAATCTGCACTTTCTGGCTGAGATCGGAGCAGCAAATGAGAATATTGATTGAATGGTGTAGGCAGCGTCGTAGTACTGTCTATGCAAGGACACAAGTTAGACAGCGAGAGTCATGCAAGAGAGAGAGATAGGGATCTTGTAGGTATTTATAGTGTTTGGGAGAGAAATGGATTATCAGGAGTGATTGCTAATTACTGACAGCTGAGTCTGATTGAACTTGGTTGTTGTCATCCCTCCCAAACTTTTTTAAACTCCATTTATAAAACTGAAACAAATTTATTAAATTCAAATTCTGTACCAGGGGCGTATATTTTGTACAGTCCACTAATTGTGTGATAACCTGCCACAAATATAAATTGATAGGATGTAATAATTTCAATCTACCCATCAGAGTGCAAAGGATGCAGCAGCAGGATTCCATGAGGAGAACCTAGTCTTGTGCTCTCTGGACCTCTTTATAGCTGGGACTGAGACCACCACCACCTCTCTACTCTGGGCTCTCCTCTACATGATCAAATACCCGGACATACAGAGTGAGTAAGCACACTGAGCTCCTAAATATATCAAGCCTGTTGCACCTACTGCACACTAGCCCTCAAGCATGTGAAAGTGAATCTGAACCACAAAGCAAGCATTAATTAGCACAAACAAAGAATATTATGAAATGAAATAAATGCTTTAGCTGGAATTTGTTTCTTTTTGTAATAGATTAATTGCATTATTCTGTTGAATGAACTGTATCTTCTTTTTGGAAAGTATCTCAGAACAGGTTTTAGTATTTTTTGGCATTATAAGATGAAAACTCTCTTTCCATACTTTGCCTCATGCGCCTCAGAGAAGGTCCAGGCTGAGATAGACAGAGTGATTGGAAAGGAACGGCAGCCCTCCATGGCAGACAGAGTGTATCTTCCCTACACTGATGCTGTGATCCATGAAACCCAGCGACATGGCAACACTGTTCCCCTGAATGCACCAAGAATGACCAATAAGGATACAACATTAGGGGGTCACTTTCTTCCAAAGGTGAGAGGGAAATAAAACATCCATTCTGAACATCTTTATGCTTGTTTTTCCATTATTCACAAAACCTAAAATATGAAATGGGTGTTCTGGTAGTGTGTTTCTCTATCTTTATAAAGGTAGTTACAATCTGTTTATATATATGAAGTATATTATTTTTGTTCAAAGACAATTTACTGTAATTTTGCTTTGTAAAATTCAAATGTCAATGTATGTTCTGAAATGTGTATAAATAGTTATGTGCAATTGAATGACAATTTTCTGAAAGAAATACAAAACAAGTGTTATCAGCCCAGATGTTTCTAATTTTGTAGGGCACAACAATAATAGCAAACTTGACCTCAGTGCTCTTTGACAAGACTGAGTGGCAGACACCAAACACTTTCAACCCTGGACACTTCCTGGACTCTGAAGGGAAGTTTTTGAGACGGGAAGCATTCATACCCTTTTCAGCAGGTAATCATTTTTTGATCATTGATAATTATAAGGGGGGCATGCAGATCAATGGTTAGCATTGCTGCCTCAAAGCACTCAGGCTCTGGGTTCAATTCTGGATCTGGAGTTCTGTCTGCATGGAGTTTGTATGTTCTCACCATGTTTGCATGGGTCTCCTGCAGGTACTCTGATTTCCCATAGTCCCGGTACCATTACTGGTACTGTAAATTAATTGGCTTCTGGGAAAATTGACCCTGATGCAAGTGTGTGCACGTCTGAGTTTGTGTTTGTCTCCCATGTGATGGACTGCCACCCCATCTAGCATGTATTCTGTCTTGTTCCTATTACTGCTGAGATAAGTTCCAGATCCCATACAATCCTGAATTCGAAGAAGTGGCTAGAAAATGAATGGATGATAAATATAAGAAATAATAGAAAATTAGCTTTATTTTCATTACTTACACAATGAATCATATGTAATTTGCTTAATGAATATTAAGTTTCACAAGATTGAGAGGCATAATTGTCTACATACTGTAGACTACTAATTCTGTTTTTCTCATTTATATAGTCAAAGGTAGCAGTGGCAAACAGCTTTTTGTCCTTTTTAGAGCAATAGTTACCATGATTCATTATTCCTATGACATTCAATATTTTGCTAGTAAGATACCTAGTATAACCTATAGTATGCAACCACAAACATGGTTTGGGGATCACCAAAAAAGGATATCAGCTTTAAGGAAAAACACTTCCTATGCATTACTGCTCTGGATGAACCTCCCTACCTCAGCTGTTCCTTTTTTTCAGTCAATTGAATCTGAGCATTACTCAGATTACTTACTAGCAAAATATTGGATTATTGTAGAACTAGCTTTTACAGTAGTATAGTAAAGCTGTCTGTATGGATAAAACAGCTTAATTGTGCGTATTGCTTTTGTAAGGTATGTTGCTACCGACAGCACTCTTGGGAATAGAAGAACTGAAGCAGTTTAGAAACAAAAATAGTTGTAAGGAATCCAAGTGAGGAAGTAGGAGGATCCTATGCAGACTAGAGAGAGGGAGTAGAGGCAGCATAAATACACACATCCATATGAGTTTGTGGTCAAGAGCAAACCAAGTCCAAAAAGCCAAAAGAGGTAATTTGAGAGGGTTTTCCAAAAAGGGCAAGGTAGGGGCTCCCTAGGAGAGCAGAGAGTTCTGAGGGTTTAAATAGAGATGAGAAAAAATGGCACAGCAGTTGATGATGGTTAACAGGTGTGGAGGCGCTTGTTGTGATTAGTCAGCTCCTGGAACTGGTTAGCTCATTTGTAGGTAGATTTCCGATGACTGGTGGTCATGACAATAGTATTTTTGGGCCTTACAAGGAGCCCTGCCTTGGCTGTTGCACAGTCCAGCTACAATATATTGCCTAAAGCAGGGTATGCCTTTCAATAAATCTGAATATTAATAACACATTAAGAGATCTGTCAATCCAAAAAGAACAATGATAATCCTGTAAGATTAGTTTTATTTCTTACTCTTAAACTTCTCTGTGTGGTTGACAAAAGCCTAGGCATCGCTTGCACAGAACCAGCTTGGACATACTGTATCTTTTTGCAGGAGGGAGGATGTGTCTGGGAGAGCAGCTGGCTAGGATGGAGCTGTTCCTGTTTTTCACTTTCCTTTTACAGAAGTTCACCTTTACTTCCACTGATGGCAAACAGCCCAGCATGGAGTATAAGCTTGGAGTCGTGCGGAATCCACTTCCATTCAGCATTTGTGCTGTCTCTCGCTGACCATCCTTTATTTACCTGCAACAGAATGTATACTTTTCCCTAAACTTATTTCATTGGCAGTGTCATGTTACAGTTTTTCCCAACAGCTAAGAAAGCTCAATTTTCCCCAAACTATAAACACAAAATCAGAAACCCACACTGATCTGTACAAACCTCATACATATCTGACAAAAATCAAACACTCTACTCAAAAACATATCTTTAATCTAAATCAAACTTTCCCTTCAAATGGCACACAAAAGCCATCAAATACACAGACACCACTGCATATCTCTTACACACTGGTGAGATCTATTCAAAACACTACTGTAAAAACCTGTTACTGCAATGAATCAGGAACCATATGCTTTTTTAGAACAACCTCTATACATTTTGAACTTTGCAATATCATGCTACTGTAATCTACATAACTTAAGTAAGTGTGCAGGTAAAGTAACACAATATTAAATTTAAAAAAATTCCTGAATGTATAGTACAGTAAACTGAAGTTTGATAAAAAGGAAATGTAAAAAATACACAATTCAACAGCAAAGTGCAGTAAAAATATTTCCCAAGTATTCAACTATGTAAAACAAGGAAAATAAAACATTTGGTATTGTTGTAACAGACAAATAAGTTCTGGATCCCGAGATGAAGTTTAAACAGCTGAGTTTTATTGTATGCAAGGAACAATAAGACCGAAGTATTGTAAGAAACACAGGTACAAAGCTTCCAGTTTATATAGCACTTTTCAGCTGCTTCTGACGTAGTTCATATCCATGGTAATGGGGAGAGGTCACTGTGTTCGGACAGACCCCAGACTTTGACCACTATTAATGGTCAGTTTTAGGTTTTCTTCATTGGGGGGGGGTCTCTAGCTGGCATCTGGAATCCTTATCAGTTATCCCCCTTTCCTGCCATAACTCTAAGCCTGGAATGTCTTGTGTCACAAGAAGTCCAGTCCTTGTGCAGAAAGGAATCAGTTAACCCCTCCTTCACATCTTATATATATCTTCAGTATAAAGAAAGCAAAATCACATTTATTCTGCCTCAACATCTGGTCTCTGGGCTGGTCAGACCAGAGAATCTAATTTACATCACAGGCAATGTAAGCCCTGGCCAGGCAGGGGGGATGTACCCCCTGGTATGCCTTATCCACCCCTGCCAAGACCATTGCCTGGAGAAGGTTTTCCCACTCATATGAATTTCTGTCATTTGTAATTTCCACTGCCATGGCGAGAAAAACTCCTATATAGGGTTGAGGAATGGGGAATAGCGTGGAAGAAAAAGATTAGAGCACTGGTATCTCAAACATTTTGGACCAAGTACCACCCCTGATCAAACCAAAGCATCCAAGTACCACCTACAAGTCATCTTCTCATAGGAACCACAGAAAATCTCAATGACCAACATGAGCGTGCACACACACTCACACACACATATAATAAAAATAACACTGAGCACTTAGATAATTTGGATTGCACCACCTTGTAGCCATTTTCCGACACTTGCTAACACAAGCAGTGCTGTCTGAGTCAGGTTCAGCAACAGAGCTAGTATCTGTGGCTGATAGAGTGACTTTTTTAATTACCAATTTTTCAGTGCACACAACAAATTTCAAGGGTCATCTCGCACCACAATTTGAGAATAAAAGATTATGTATATTATGTAGAAATACAGTAAATCACTAAAAAACATTACTGTAGTAAAAGTAGGCCATCATATAGCCTGCACTATATACTGCTGAAATTACCGCCTAAATATTGGATGAAGACTTATTCCAAGCGCTGGTCTTTGACTCTTTCTGAATTCCTTTCAAAAGGAACATGGTAGGCTTGTTTTGTTCGTATTCTGTTGTGTCAAAGGATGTGCTCAATAGTTGAAATGCTGATTTGGTCAATTCCTTGAAATATACCCTCATCTTCAATTATTCTGTTCTGAATTTCTCGCAGACGAATGACATTGTTGGCTATGACCATGTTGACAATTGCAGTTTCTTACTCTTCTGATAACAGCCGTGGTCTGCCTCCATGAGCTTGTTGTCTCTCAGTTCTGCAAAAATAGAACAAGTGCTGTGATGCTACAGTCATCCATTTTTACAAAACATGAGTACAATTTCCAACTTCATGTGATACAGTACAGTAATATAATGTATTTCCTCACTCAGCTCCACACAATATTACAGTACAGTAGAGCAAACAACAGATAAGAGAGCAGAGTACATCACTTCAATGTTACAATAGATATCAATAAATTTGTTATCTGAAGGTCCAGATTTTAGATGCTACCGTGAAGAGGCTCAAATTTGGCTGTACTCTTTGCCCAGCTTCCCTCATTGTCATTCCATGGACAAGGACAACTACAGTAGCAGGGATCTCATCAGATACAAATGTTCTCCTTGCCCTTCCTTTTCCATCTCCACCTCCTCTAAGTTGTACTCTTCCTCTGACTTGAGCACTTTCTGCATTGTTTGGATCCATTGTTCCAAAGCATATGAACTCACCTGTGGCCCTTTTTATACATCCTGAGGTTCTTATTGGTGTGTGAACAATTTTGCTTATTGTGCTTCACATCTAAAGAATTATGTGTTAATTTAGTTCAGATTGTGATGACATTGTGATGATTTTTGAATGCCAGTATTTTCTACAGTAAATGAGCACATGGTGCAACCCGTGCTTTGTGAGAAGATTTGTATGTAGTTTTGCACAAAAGGTTCAACAAATTTGTGTGAATACAGGTGAATAGTGTTAATACTTTTGGGAACTGAGTCTTTCTTTTGGTAGCTGATGTAATGGTTTGGGACGTTTTGCTCATAGAATGAGTTTTAGTGTGTAAGTGATTGAGAAAAACTCTAATAAATATAATATAACAATATACTGTATAATATATTACAACATAGTACTGTCAGAATTTAATTTGTGTGCTCTTTATAGTTGTTTTAAAATCTGTGCCTTAAAATTTGGGTTGTACTCCATATTTTGATTATCGTAGTTCTGAAATTAGTCACAGCAGTCACATCTAGAAGTGCACTGGGCACATGGGCACGTGCAGTACACCCTAAAGTACACTTATAAAGAACATACTGTACCTAAAACATGTGTAAACAACGAGTGCATCTGTGAAAAGCAATTGTCATCTAGATACACGAGTACAGTGTTGCAAGATTAATATGTATGAAGTGTTGTGCTACTGTAGGTTTTTAGATAGAGAAAATATCTTGTTGCAGATTGCATCCCAGTTGGGCATTAGTGTCAAGCTTGTCTAGTTCACACATGATTTTAGAAGAAATAAAGAAGTGTTACAGAAAAGAGAGCAGAGCCCTTGTAATGACTTTTAAAAATACATCAGCTGTTGGGTATTTGTCAGATTCTGAAATATGTGTAGTAAGTACAATGTGTTGGGAAGTGAAAAACAATCTTGACATACAATCTTTAAAGTGTGAAAATCCCAAGTGATTGTAAATAGAGATTTCCTATTGCCTATTGCCTATGCCTCCAAGTGTGGATTTTTTTCTTTCCAAATTTTAAACTGGCCTTGTTAAAAAAAACATAGCCTATCAATTCTAAACTTTTGGTTATGGAGAAAAAAGCAACTGATGTAAAAGGAAAGTCTTGGGTAATTAATTAATAACGATCCATCACCAGTAATTTCTAACCATCAGTACCATTGGTAACATTTACTTGCCAGAGACAACAGCTCATCCCCAACAGTTCATCACCAATTTACAGCTCATTACCTTGGACTGGGGACAGAATGTTCCATTTTGTGTTGAGAAAGCAGTTGCACTCATGTAATGGGTATACTGTATGATTATAATTTAGTATAACTTCTTAGAATTACATGTTACTGTATTGTATTATGTTACTGTATTATAATTACAGACTGTTACTTTGGAGACATTAATCTATAAGGGTTTCCTCCTTATATACAGTATTTCACAGTAGTATAGGTTATTGCTGTTGCTGTTGATTTTAATATTATTATTTTACAGTTGAGTTTGGTTAATTGATTATGATGATGATGAACATGGACTAGGGAATACCAGCATAAAGGAAATTCTAAAAAATAGATTAGTACAGTACATCCACATGCACCTTTCCAGCTTGCTAAAAATATATGGCAAATTTTGCTAATGCAGAACTATCTATGATTTAATTCTGCATTAATTCTGTAAATATTTGTAATAAAATCAATACAAAATAAACTTTTTAGAAGGTGAAATTATTATTCTCAGTCCCAGAAAGCATGACTTTTAGTTGTAATGCTGTACACACAATATAAGGTGTAGCTTTTATGTTCATCACTTTCTGCCTTTTCTATGATACATCATTTCATCAGAACTTAACACCTACAAAAATGGCTTTTTCACTACTAACAGTTTTCGGTACAAAATGTTTCCAGAAAATTATGTGCAGTTTGTAGCTTAAATTATTGACTTCACATTTACACCTTTTCAAGATGTGGTAATTTAATGTCATACATTATGAAAGTAATGATTATTTTTATTGAACCAGAAAGTCTCCTTGACATCTCTTATTGAAGAGCGATCTGGTCAAAAAGGCAGCTGGAATACAATTGTAACACACTGAATATTGAAATACATTAAAATATAATTATTTAAAAATGTAGTTCAATTATTTCAAACACGTTTATTTAAACACATTTATCAATAATAAAATTACCATGAAAATATTTTAATGATCTTCAAATCTTCCTTATATTAGATACCTTTTTTGATATCAAAACCTTAAGGTTTTAAATAAGAAATAAGGTAAGATCTGACTTATGTGTGCCATTTGTATAGGTCTTGATTTGCTTTTCAGTTCAGTTTATGTACAGTACAAGTGCAATTACAGTAAATGCTTATTTGCATGTGGGAAGAAACTGTCTCTGAATCTGGAGGTTCATGTCTTTATGCTCCTATAATGCTTACCAGAGTGCAGGGGAGATAAAAGTAGGAAACCAGGATAGTTGTTATCCTTAGCAATAGAGGGAAGCTGTATTCAAGTGATGAACTGGGCTGACATGATCACCCCCTGTCACACCTTCTGGTCAGACAACGAGCTGCTGCCAAACCACACTGTAATCCCACACGTGTGCACACTTTCAATAGAGCACCTCTAATATGTAGTTTTTTCAACTGTCTGAGTTAGTAAATGTATTGTTGTGCCTTCTCCAGGAACTTGGAGCTGCTAACCATCTCTACGGCCACCCCATTCATGTGAATAGGGGTGTTGTCCCCAACCTGCTTTCTAAAATCAACAATGAGCTCTTCGGTTTTGCTGATGTTGAGGGAGAGATTATTGTCAAGGCACCACCCCACCAGGTGACCTGACCTAGCTGACCTCATCCCTGTAGGCCGTCTCACCATTACTGGTGATTCGGCCAATGATGATAGTGTCATCAGAATACTTGTAGATGGAGTTGGAGCTGTGTCTGGCTACACAATCATGGGTAAACAAGGAAAACAGTAGGGAGCTAAGCTCACAGCCCTGAAGGGGAACCTTTATTGACGGTCAGTGTGGAAGAAAGC